ATTCTTCATTTGAGTTCTAATCACTGCCGATCGGAATTAAGTGTTCTTATCTTAAACTTCAGCCTGTATTACTTCTGATGCTCTCTATACCAGTGCCCATTGAGTTAAACTGTTCTCAGTGCGACTAATGCGTACTTTCAGGAAGTGTCGTTTCGTAGATTGTTCACTCTTTACGTGTTTGTATGAATGTGCTGTGCATCGACAAACGAAACCTAAGGAGTACTGCTTTGAAGTAGTGTTTTTTAAATCATCGTGTTACTTGCACAGGTCAATTCCACCCTCCGAGTCTGTGTCAAGTCTTACATTGTTACGTATCATTGAAAGATAGCTACCGAAGAGTACTTTAGCCGGGACTTAAAGTTTGCTGTGTTGGTTTCAACTGAGTGGAGTTATAACTTCATTGGATCCGTGAATAGAATACTTCGGTCAGTGAGGCTATTGAATCAGACTTTTGTTTGGTGGTGTTTGCCATTCTATACCTCGGCTTACTTCGCTCGCCGATTTTATGCGCCCCCTTATTATATTCAGGGCCGGCCAGGGTTTTTGGGTATACAATATATTGGGGTATTTAATTTTAGGTATACTTTATTTTTATGCTTAAAATTGGGTATAAAGTATTCACTCACGACTAATTTTGGGTATATAACGTATATCGTGGTTTTCTTAATTTTGGTATTTTACACGATTTTTAGTATAATTTTTGGTATATTGGAAGGTTTATTTCGGGTATTTTGGTATTCCACTACCCACCTTGGCCGACCCTGTATATTCGCCTTTACTCAGGGACCAAGGAGCCTGGACGCAGTAAGAATAGTGCACTGAAGATGGTTCCAAATTTTTTTCATTCTAGGGATGATATTCTAACGTGTAGCATTACAGCTCAAAGCAATGAAGAAAGTACATCCTGTGTTGTCTAAGTTAGCTTTTATGACCTTTTATTTTTGCATGATAGTGTTCTTAGGGGAAAAACTGTTTGAGTGCAGAGGTCTACGCAACGCGTAAATATAACTGACTGGTTCCTCTTGCCGGATGTCTAATCAAAGAGATGCTGAGGAAGGCTAATTTTCTTAGCCGAAATATTGGCCTATAATAAATCAGCCCTTTGCCGTAGTGACAGCCCTGCATTGAGTTCTGTTTTGTTCTTAGGGGGTCCCTTATACTACAGTAAAAACCCGCAAGTAAGAAATTGCATTTTGCTAAGTTAGTCCAAACAGGTTCTTTCATAAATCGTAATTAGCACAAATTTAGGCTATTTAGGTTCTTAAATAGGCTTTTATTTTTTGAAGAAAAAATGTAGATTGTAGCTGAGAGTCTGTAGTGGTATTCAGCTTATTCCTTATATAAAATCTGCACATCATTACATTGCAGTTGGTCTAGTCAAAAGGCACCTATCCAAAGAACGGGATCCTGAATGTTGACTTATCTTTTTTGCCCAAGTGTACATAATATCTTTAAAGAGTTTCTGCAAAAAGATAAGAACCTTTTCAAATTTTAGGCTGAACAGGTTCTTGTTTGGAGGGGCCTATAACTGGTAAATTTTAGGCTTACTGGTTCCTAAAAACAAGGTTCTTACTCACGGGTTTTTAGTATTTTGTATTTAAGGTCATTAGAACAGTTCTGTCGCTACTCAACCTTGATGGTCATTCACAGTGCGTCTTTTCGGGATATCTGAAGGCGAATGAAAAATGCTAAGCTAATTTTTTCTTTTGTGCATAGCAGTGCGGAAGCCAGGTATTTCGTTATCAGTCTTACACCGTACGGCTTAGCTTTCTTTGTGTGTGAATAAGTATAACATTAAAAGTTATAGTATCTACTACGGCGTCGTGATGCCCGTATTGCTCTTGATTGAATTGTGTCTGTGAATAACTTTTCCCAACACGACCGTGACAGTAACATCTACGATACTGCACAGAACTGTGCGATACCCGTAGTAATGTGTAATATCAACTGTGGTATACTTTTGTCTGTAAATTTAATTCTAAATATAACCATAACAGCCATATTCTGTACACTGAGAGCACATAGTTTTTTCGAAGTCATGCCGCAATATGGATGACTTCTGTAAAGCGTGAAGCCAAAGATTGGATAAAATGCTGTAATTGACCCCTATGTTGCAAATATCGTGCAGAGTGATTCTTTACCGTGATATTCAGTACAGTTCATTACAGGCGGAGACAATTATTATGAGTATACTGTGATCAAGGCGTTACGCCTGTGAGCTGCGTGCTCTTGGTTGGGGGAAGGGGGGCTACTAAAAATCGCGAGGAGATGGAAAGGGAAGAAACCCTCCCGCTCGACGGAGGCCTGTTCATATGAGTAATGCTCAAACTTCAACTTTACGGACGAAAGCTACCAAGGCTCCCAATGATCCCTAATGTTTATTACATTCCTTGTGGTGTACCTCATTTGTTCTTTGTTTCCGGAAAACGTGTTTACCTTTGAACTGTAGCAATCGCATGCTATAAGGGCAACGTTTAGGCATTTTGTTTGAAGATGATCTTATTTGCAGCAAAATATAGTTGCTGACATATGCTAGTCGTAGCTCATGTTTCGACCAAGTCTCACAATTTTCGTGTTAGCCAGTGAGTCACTGATCGTCACTGCTTTTAATATTGACCGTCTAAACTGGAATGCCCTTCATAGTTTACCATCGATCACTCTCTCTTTCTGCCACTATAACCACTGTCAACTGCCTCGTCGACTCAAGTTCCAAAATATCGCGTGTCTGAAATTTGTGAGTGACAACGACTGTTCTAAGAGTAAGATCGCTCTAAAGCCGCTCTCCAAAGAAACAGAAAATGACAAATAATTTCGAAGTAATTAACTCAGCATGCATGATCAGTTTATAATCTAGCACGCGAACAAATTGCCGCAGTTCTCGGTGTTACCTGTGTCTCTTTAAGGAAAGCAACCTCGATTTTCCCTGAAATCATATTTAGGAAAACTGGGTTTTATCCTTTTTCATTCGTCTTATTTTAACTCTGAGATTACTGTTTATACTAAGACTTCATCTTAATTTTTCCTACAGGCATTGTCGATAATGTGGTTAGGCGGGTTGGCTGTGGCTTTTAAATTTGTGCCATCTGCCAGTATTTAAACACAGACTGGCTGTAAATATACTGTAATGAAGCTCAAGACGATTTTGAAATAGGCAATTGACAAATTTGAGTCACAGATTCCACGGATAGTTATTTTAAGTTGACTAGACTTTGTTGCGTGTCGTTTCGTAGGAACGCGAACAATCACACGCAAGAATTCGCTATTTTTGTACATGCTTAGTCTGAACAAGAATTGCTATCAGTTTAGACTCGTACCAGAAATTTTTGGAAAGCGTATATAGTGTATTTATGGTTGATGATCTTAAATATGTTTAAAAAATTCTACATCTTTCGCCAAGCCTGTTAAATAGGAATTAACCAAAAAAATTTACCCATAAAAAAAAAGGACAAGCGAGCAAAACCGAATTGCTGAAATGGACGCTGTTTTTTCTCCCGTTTATCTGTCATTAGAATGATAATTTGTTCCCACAATAAAATAAAATTGGGGCAAAACTGACGAAAGAATACAACCAATATATCACTTGCGATGACACCATAATCTGATCTTCAAAATCAGCGGCCGTCGATGATGGTCACAAGGGATACATTTCCAAAAATAATCAACACGGTATTTTTTGTCTTTCGGTGAAGTTGGTTTTCGCTGCAAATTCTAACTCTCTATAGCTTAGCTCTGTTTTATTGAGATAACAATTAAAAGCGTGGCAGAGTGTGATGAAGAATGATTTCGAAAAAGTTGCAATTACCCTGGTTCCCAGACGATAGGTCATGTACCTCGATCAGGGTTGTCTACATATCAAGTGCGCGAATACAAAGAACTCACGCAAAGCTTCTTGCCGCAAAAACCGTCGACTCGTGGGCTGGTTATTGGTCTGAAACATAGTCAAAACATAGTTTCGAGTCGTGGAGGCATCGAAGGATTCGTTCGTAAGAATTAAAGAGATTTTAACCATTGCAAAATAGCTCAATTAACTTCTGAGAAGTCGTTTACAGCATTATAACTAACATCACAAAAAAACCTATCATAAAAATTCCATTCCTGCTTTCCTGTGTAGCCCGAGGCTAAAAGGGCGAACCACACGAAACCCTCGATGCACCTGCAAGTTTACGCGAAATTTCAAAATATCCTGGAGGAGAATTTTTGACTTAAAGATTGTACGGTATCTGGCGATAGCGATAAACATTGACTTGAAAAACTCTTTACTCCGCCTTTTCTATTCAAGGCGTTGAATGGTTTTGATGTATACCGATTTCAGCGTGTCTATACATTACTCCCCTTTCTGACTTCGTGGTCAATTTATCTGATTATCGGCAGTATCTGCCGAGAGGAAGGAAAAGGGAAAAGGGGATTGACATAATAAAACCAGAAGGCACAACAAGGCGGGGTTAGAATGTGAACATAGCAAAACAACACCTGACAGCGATGGTCAAACTGGCACCACGGTGTCTGAAAAAAAAAGTTTTATTTCAAACAATTTTGAACATCTGAAGCTTCCTTTTTAATTGCTCGAAATGCACAAACATTGAATGTATTTCTGACACCAGTACAGTACGCGTTCAAGTTTGAAATTTAATGGATGTCCTCGAAAAGTTTAATCGCTCGAAACGGCTCGAAGCGCGACCCTTATTTTAGCGTTCTTTCTTTTATTCTGTGTCACGAAACCTAAGGATTGAGAAAAGAAAGCCTTCGTCGCAAGATGCGGCCAAAAGCAAAGCTGTCATTATTTATTTTCAAAACATTAGAAAAAGAAAAAAAAAACAAAATCGTCGACACTGCAGCAGCACGCACAGAGTTGAATTCACCATACCTACTACTCGTACTATTTGATCCCAATTATCTTTCTTACAGCAATTACCCTGTCTGAATGCTTTAAAGAAGAAGAGGAAGAGAAAAGTAATTGGTTATAGGTCACCTGGTTCAAGGGAGAATGAATAAAACCAACGCAAATTATTATAGACTTTATTTTTTGAGAGCTCCTCTCTCAACACGTAAAACTTATTCCATAAAATATATACACTGACGGAACATAGGGAAGATTCGTTCCTTTCCATAATTGAACTTTACACTTTACACAATGTTTGTTGCTCGCTATAGAAGAAATAAATTAAGATTTCCGGCATGCGATCGCTGCGGCGATGTCCAATGTCCTCGCGTCTGTGATCAATTTTTCATCTTGTTGCATTTTTACAATCGGGAGAAGAGTTAATTTGCGCCTATTCCCTCATGCGGACGCGATACCATATGCGGGGCTTGCTCTGAAAACTGTACCTAACAACAGAGATCAAAGGGAAAAAGAGAACTGCGGTTAGGATGAGGAAAGGAAGGGAAAAAACGCGCGAGATAAGCAATGTCTACTCAACAAGAACAAACAAACGATGAATTCTTAAAAAGACACATGCAGCGTTTTGTCAGAGCACGTCGGGCTCAAGAGTCCATTTTGGAAATTGTGCAAACTGTTTCATGTTTCTATTCTTGGTCTGTTTGTATATTCGGTTGGTGGTCTTTAGCCAGAAGCGTTTTTTATTCTTCTGGTGCGTGTTGTTTGTCAGTAGAATTATCAACACTCCTCGTCTCGATTTGTATGTAGAAAAATGTTGCCATTGAATACAGTGGTACGAGAGGTTTCTTTACGCATGTGCCTTTTGTTCGCTAAATGAACTCTTTTACCACACGCTGGGAAATAGATGTTTATCACGGTTAACTCAACAAACATCCCGCTGCGTAGCTAACGTCAAAAATAAATCTTTGTTAACAATTGGGCACATAGGTCTTCCTGACAGTTCAGATACTGTTCTGAGACGGTTTGAACATTTCATCCACAAAATAGCTATAATTTATAAGTACAACCTATGCATTGAAATATAAATAGAACTCGAGGCTTTCACAAACCAATATTGGAAATACGTTGAGCGTGAGACCAGAGGACCAGCAGGCAAGGCTAAAGACTGACAAGAAAAAAAAAACTTTAAAATACCGGTTGAAATTCAGTAGAGCACAGCTGCCGAGAAAAACTTTTGTTTTACAAGAAACTGTATTTTCGCTGTCTTAAAGATGTTCAGCTAGCTCATACACAATGTCCTCTCGGAGGATTGTTCGTTATGGCCTCGAATTTATTCTGAAAAAGATTAAAGTTTGTCTTCTTTGAAAAAAATATGGTCTACGAAACAATTTTTAAAACTCTGCTGCAACTTTGTGTGTTATTTGTGGCCTTCTTTTTAAGGAACAAGAAAATATTTCAAGCAGTTTCCTTTGCTCCGTAAAAGCTTTGTTGTCAAAGGTGTGAGGCAATTAGGACAGATTACAAAGAAATACAATACTGACAAATTTCACTTTCCAGTAACTGAATTCGTTAAAATACACGAAAGATAGAACTCTAGCTAGAACCAGTGATTGAAATAGAACGAAAACAAAAATGAGAAGACAAGGGAACGAATAAATTCTTCGTAAGATTTGAGCCAAGAAAAGCATACTTGATAATATGTAGACAAAAGAAGACCAAGTCGAAGGTTGATTCACAGAAACCTCGCATCCATGAAGGAGTTTTAAAAATTGCTTGTTCGGTGAAATATAAGATGTTTGATTCATCTTCCTATGAAGTCAATTTGCACACCGCAGTGGCTTGAAGGATATTTGTACATTGAATTCACTTATGCAAAATAGGCAAAGGCATCTATTCAGAAGAAGAGTAATTATCGTGTCACCACACAAAAACACACAAGCCTGACTCGATAGATACACGCTTGGGTTACTCGTTTAATGGTCCCCTTAGGGTTTTGAGTCAGTCCGGTGGCTTGTTTTCAAACGCAATTTATCGTTCGCTAATACAATTCAGGTTAAATGCTTACCAGAGCTAATAGCTGAGAGCGGTGTGAGACCGTATAATTGGCAATTTAAACCGCGCAAGAAGCAGCATCTTGACGGTTCGCGCGTGGAAGAACTTTCCCAGTAAGTTTGCATTAAAAAAGCAGCGAACGAAAACAAAAGAAGTATGTCACAGATAAGATAACCTTCCTAGTTTATAGGCTTACCAATTGTTGAAACGGACCTTGGTCCATATCGTTATGCATTGCGAATTCGTTCAGGGCCTTCCAAGGCTGGTAGCTGGGAAGGTCGCCCATCGAGACCTCAGATGGTGGTCTGAGCGATGGTGGAGTTAGACTCGAAGCGAAAACCTGAACACCCGAAATAGCTGATGGCGGTAGCGTGCGGCTGGAGAGAGCATTCGGTGAGCTACCGGTTGGACTCTGTATGTAAACGGCAAAGAAAAAGATACAGTGATTAAACGGGAGGATATAAATTGCCGTCAATTATTATGACTTGGATGCGGCAATGTTTTGCTTTGTAAAACGTATACAGTTCGATATCCCACTGGGGCTAATGGTAATGTCATTTCTTTGCTAAATCGTTGCGTAAAGAACAGGCTATAACAGTCAGTCAGAATAGTGAAAGGAGGCACTAGCCGAAGTCTAACGTTTATCTAAAATTAAGATCAAGCAACTCTGTGTGCGCATGATGACAAAAACACCAGATGCTAGGGCTAAGCGTCGATGAACCCCGTCAGCGAGGATGGATGATTTTATAATAGGCCACACTTTTGTACATTCTTATTCAAAGGGGTTTGAGTATAAGAAAAAAAATGTTTCTCCTTCAACATTAAGATCGTTTAGTAATAAGCTCGCAGAATCCTTCGTAGAGATTGCCATTTCTAAAGGAGGAAGTCTAGTGAGAGAGCGTCTGTGAAGATATAAAATCTCGAAGAATCGTCTTACCAGCTGTGAAGCCTAACAATCCAAAATTAACACCTTTTGGCTAATTCTTCCAATTATATTAACAAGAAAACTCCTAGCACGGTGTTCAAGCAAAAGAAAAAGGCTTGGATCAAGAGCAAAGCGCGATTTTATTGAAATAAAAAACAGTGAAAACTGCCTTAAGTTTGCTCGCCAAGCTCGATTAACCACCACCTGTGCGCAAATATTTCCATTTCCGTCCGTCTTTGTCGTGCTCATCGTGACAGCTAATGGCAAAGTGACATTGCCAAAAAAAAAAAAAAAATCCGCGGAGCTAAACTGTATCTACCACTCCTACGTTTTTTAGGCCAGTTGGAAATGGGAAACACATAATGTCAGTTTATACCTGCCCATCATCAGAGCCCGGTCCTTGGTGTTGGTGGTGAGAGGAGGTCTTGTTTAACATCATAGACTTCTTCTTGTCTTTGCAGCGTTTATTTTGAAACCACACACGAATTACTCGAGGACTAAGTCCAGTCATTTCGACGAGCTGTTCTTTCATCATCGCGTCCGGCCGCGGATTCGCCGCGTAACACGTCCGAAGCGTGTGTAGCTGCTTCTCATTCAACACAGTCCGTACCCTCGTCGTTTTCTCTGATGATTTGCCTCGCCGTGGCGATGATTCTTCGGTCTGGCCGTTCGAGTGAGCTGCAAAGGAATTATCATTGTCGCGATATTTTTAGCCTAACACTTATGATACTTCAGTCACCATTGAATCTAATATTTCGAGGGTGGAAACAGTAATACTGTATATCTAGGGAAAGACAAAGAGTCATGATATGGAGCTGAGAAGTTTGGAATTGAAATATCTGCTAAAAGCACTACGAGGTGCTACGACACCGTTGCTCGTTTAAACATCCTCGAGATTTGAGATTTTGTATTTTCCTGCGGAAGTGCTTAAACTGTTAAGAGAGTAGAAAATCCCGAGTTTAGTTGTTGAAGAATAGTTAAGGGGTTAATTCAGAATTTCGGGTTAAACCTGACAGCAGCAGTGATAGAACTGTGATGCTTTGTAAGGGTCATACATAGGTATCACGGAAACTTCCCGATCGGAAATAAATGTCAAAAGTACTTATCCGTGTTGAACCTTATAATTGAGAATAGAAGATATTGCCAACAAACATTCAATTTTGAATTAAAGCGCGAGAAGGTTATAATATTCCCGCTCCCCTTCTCCTTGAGGTTGGTTGATAGGTGACACGGCTGGCCAAACGCCGGCAGCAGAGCCGTGTTGCTTGGCTACAAACAGGGCTTAAAATTAAGCACAATCAAAATCCATTAACCAACAAACGATGGCCCAGACTTTTATAAATTCAAGCATTTAACTGAAATCTTCACATGATCTGGTCCGAGTCAATCTAAGTTGCTAATAGTGTTATCGACCCCAATTTGATTAGATTCTGATACGTTTAGTGACAAGACCTACCGCGTTGAAACAGAACGAGTAGAAACAGACTGGCTCACCTGATGATTGAGAGGAGGACCGTTGCGATCCTCGAACGTGAGCTGCTTGAGCTGTAGCCGTTGCCTTCTCTACGATTTCGTTGTCTTCTTTACAGAATAATCCGTCCTCGCGCAGGGCGAATTCGTCCCCCGGAACAAGCTGTCTACTGCAAGCGATGCAGCGAAAACAGTCTATGTGATAGATTTGGTTCTTGGCTCTCATCACGAAGTCGTTTTTCGTCACAGAACGGGAACATTTGGCGCACTTTGTCCCAAATAACCTGAAGAGCGAGAGAGAAAATGCCCTCAATAACCAGAAAGCAAATAACGCGCTTCCCGAGAACGACTTTCGCAAATATATCTGTTTCTATTTTATTCCCATCCGAAGTGACCCGTCAATGTTATTTTACAACTTACCCACGCGCTACTTAGTCTAATCCTGCAGAGTTTTTCTTTGCCGTAAGGCGCTAAGACTAACAAAATTGCGATCGAAAGCGAAATCTAAGAAAAACCACAAATCTAAATTGTACTCGTAGTCTCCTGCTTGTAGAGTAGGCAAACTTTCCCGCCTCGCTTACCCACAATAAGAAAGAGGCGGAGTCAAAGAATAACTTGTGTGAACGGAATTTCCTGAACTCCAGCCACCATGTATCCGTGTGAATTTCTTTGTAATTAGCTTCTCCGAGATCCACGAAAAACTACCACTGTGTAACAGCCTACGCAGCGGGGGAAATCAGGGCTTCTATCTTGCCACGATGGCTTTGTAGAGACAATACAGTCATAACCATCACAGCTACTCTGTCTTTCTAATTAACAACATTGATTCCTTCGCCAGAGTAATATGTCGTCAGTATTTGTAATATACTGAAGTAATCCCTCGAAAAACACAACGTCATGCAGCTATTAACGCACGGTTAAACGGACGAATTGAACGAATGTGTTGATGATCTCAAATGATCTATGATCGCTCGGTCAGTTACGTTTGCATTCTGATTTCTCAGCAGTGGACCGTACTGGCTTACCTAACGTAATCACGCTTGCAGTAGGTCTTTCCGTCTCGCACAAAACACGTACAAGTTTCATCCAGGTACGTGTGACAGTCGGCACATTTCAGGCAACCTGCATGCCATTCAAGGTCGGGAGCGACGCGTAGGATGTACTGATCTTGAATCTGAGAGCCGCAACCGACACACATGGATATTCGACGCTTCTCTGCAAAAGAAACACAAAACAAAACTTAAGAGCTCCTTGGTTTAAGCGTGACAGGAAATACTTCCGAACGTCCAAGGGAGTCATGGCGCTAACAGAAAGTTTATTTTGACGAGCAGGGAATCACATCGACTATAAGTACGTACGTTGGAGGTCTTGGTCGCTCATTCCCAAGAAGGCTTTACAAGGCGACTCGGTGATATCAACCAAAATGGGATTACTAACTAAGCGAGTCAGCCAGCTGACGAACCGAATACTTCAAAATTCCGATCTCTCTGGAGCAATAATGCCATTGGTGTAGCCTGCTCGTGCCCAAACACGTGACCCTGGCTGTCATTGTCCGGCAGGTTATTGGCCGGAGGCTAAACCACCAATTTTACAAATTGGTGCCCAGTTGTGAATACTTCACTCGCCATTGGTCGCCCACCTTTCAACACTTGTCAAACTTTGCGCGTTTTTTAGATAGGAAACAGTGATAAACGCAGGTGTAAGGCTAGAAATTGACCGCAGATGAATTTTAGGACACTCATTCTGAGACTTCCAAATACGGAATGTTAAATCCAGCGATCATAATCTTGGAAAACGAGTCAAGTTCGTGACTGAAAGATCATGATTCCTAGCCGGTCAAAAGCAGCAACCTCGGACCGCTTATTGAAAGTGACAGCTGACTTTTGTATTTCGCATTTATTCGCACACGTGTAAGTCACTAAAGCAATATCTGCAAGCGCTTGTCTCGAGTAAAACGCGTGGATATCAGCCTCGATACACGTGAGATAACTTAACAAGATAAATTTCACAAACTGTATTGATTCGCGCAACGCTCGCCATTGAAAGGACCTGGCTTTTGAAATTAGCACGGTATTTATGCGCCGTCAACAACAGTACTGGCAGTGGGCTATAGGGCAATGTGAAGGCATTGTTCAATTTTCAATGCCTGGCGACGCAACAACAAGCAAATTTGAATCAAAACAAAAGGGTGGATTTGGGGCAGGATCTCATTGAACCTCGAACACTTCGATATAATTAGCAGAAATTTGTGAAAAGAAGCAAACGAGATTTAGCACGTTTAGGTTAGAAGCTCCGCCTTGTCGGTCAACGAATTGTCAGATAGCGTCAGGGTCGATAACTCGTATCTCTTGCTGAAAGGTACCCTCAACCTCAACAGAAAACCCAGACAAGGGGGGATGTTGAAAACTCGAGAGGTCATGATATTGACGCAACTTGGAATGAAAAATATTTACCCGAGAAATTTTCCCTTTGAATAGCAGAACAAAGTCGGCATTGAAAACATTTGTACCCAACACAACGTGGAATAATAGGCTTTGTTTTCTTAGTTCAACTTGGGGATTTAAAAACCCATTCACCGTTGTCAAACATATCTTTTGATCGTCTGGTCATGATTCAAGGCCATTGTTGTAGCCAACCCAACTAATTCATATATTAATTATCTGTCATATTCACTTGTCAAACACTTCATTGACGAGAGCCTCGTCACCAGACTTCCACCTTTGAATGTTGCGCTACAATTTCCTGTCCCTAATGAAGCGTACAAATCCTAATCCAGATTGCCCATTAAGCTTCTGTTGTCCTTATAGCATTTCCGATCTATACATCTTTTGGATCTTAACAGGGCGACATATCCTTGTAGAACAAAGCTCAGAAAAAAAATTAGCGAAGTTGGTTTGCGCACCAAATAAAATAAGAACAAACACGTCATTCGATACTTTCAAGAGACACAATCGAAAGAATTCACCGACTCCTTTCGAATTCGGCCGTGAAATTTGAATTTTTTCCACACCATTGAATCTACGATTATGATCAAATAATTGCTGTAAAAACAAGCATCACGATGAGGACAATCACAATGTAGAAGTCAAACACGAAATTTGTTATGCCTGAACTCTTCACAAAGCAGCCAGTTGCGCGGATTATTGTTTTTCACACCATCTTTGCACGGCATCTTTCGTTGCCGGGGGTGGAAAATTTTTCCTGACCCCGCTTCATCTGCGTGGAAACGAAACCCGAGTAATATGCGCCTTGGATTGGTGTCGTTTTTCGGTGGCGCCTTTTTGGTGGCCGACAAAACATACATCACTGGATGTTTCATACTAAGAGTCAAATTTCTGGTCGAATATTGTTCCGGGTAAGTTTCCGGTACATTTAATTTCTGTCTTCGAAATACAAATTTACAACTCACACCTTTCTGAATTTCAGTATTTTCAGCCTAATTCGTGCCATTTTAGCCTGTAATATAATTAACTTTTCATCAAATTCGCGTACAGAAATACCTCTGAAAGACACCAATCCCCTGTTTTGGAAATTTGTCTGCTATTTTCAACAACAGCAAAAAAATATGGACTGACAATTAAACTTGGAAACAATTGAAAGATCTCCCCAATGCGTTACTAAACGTGACGGAAAAGAAAGCTCTTTAATCTAAAATTAAAATTAAAATCTTTTTTCTTAGCAACACGTATGTTAAAATGCACATATCTTTTCGACGCCTTGTGTCGAGTAGTTGAATTGTTGGGAAGCTATCAACGAAGTACGTGTGAGATTCGGAGCCTTGTTTCACTAGAAACAATAGGATAATCTTGTGTGCTTTGAAATGATGTTAGAAACTTGGGAACGACAGCTATGAATTGGTTAGCTGGTACATTGGTAAAGAAAAAACCTTGATTGCAATAAAAAAATAATGAAATAAAATAAAAAAAATGAATAAATAAATGAAAAAAAAAACATGAAATAAAGAAGAAGAAGAAAAAAACTCCAATATGCATAGGTTCAGATCAAAAACTATTCCTGTTTTTGTTATTTATCAGGCAGGATGTGACTTGAATTTTGTTTGAATTTAGATTCAAAGATCAAAGGTCAGTTTGGTTAAATATTAGTTACGAGATGGCTAAAAAAATACTTCTTAAATTTTCGTATTAAAAGGCTAGGAAAAGTGAAGAGGATAACCAGTCGATTTCATTTTTGGCCGATCCAAGTGATTTCGGCGGCTAGAAAATAAGCTGGTTGTCCAAAGAAGACATTAAAAGTTAGAACGGCAGGGTCTATATAAGAATTGGAAACAAGAGGGGAAAAAAGTGGAAAGTAATAATGATTAGGCCCCACTGGTGACGACAGAAGAAAAGACGGCTTCACATCGTGCACAAATGTCAACAAAACTAAGTAAACTTCAACAATTATATTGATAGATTGAATAATATGGCCATGTTGCCATTCATTTGCAAGGCAAGCGGCCCTTGAGATCACAATTTACTGTTGGATCAAATCTTACGTAAAAAGTTATTGTGTATACAACAAAACAGCGCGCGAAAACTAAGAAAATTTGGTTCGCTGTGAAAAGAAGATTGTAGGTTGTGGCTTAGGCAAGATGACTTTTTAGTGAGGGCTGTCTACTAGAAGAACTTGCCAATATGTTTGTTAATTTGTGTGGGCATCAGCTGGCGGTATTACAAAACAAAACAATCAACGTGTCAAAATGGCGCGAAAACAAGAGTGGAAAGCGTCGAACGATTGTCACCTACGAGAATGGATGATTCTGTGTTATCAAAAAAAAAATAGGAAGCCACTAGTTACAGTTAAAAAAGTCTTGGCCTACTTAGTTTATTTACGCGATAAATTCATTTTGTCCTTTTCCTGTTCTTAGCCTTTTATTTAAAATATTGAACAAGGAACAAGGAAAATGTAGAGACAAGCCGAAAACATCTGCTGCAAGACAACAAATGGAGGAAGAAAACATTTACAACACAATTAGCGATAAGAATATTTTTCAATTCGGCTAATCCCTACGTGACTATGTTTAGAAAAGGGGACTTTTAAAAGAAACCAGTTAACAATGCATTTCACATGGATCCAATCCCTCGTTTAGTTTTGACATTATGGGCCTCACGGAAAATGAGAAAAAAAAAATGAATAAGCGAAAAGAAAGAACCATGAAAAAGAAAAATGTTTCATACAACACCCCGTGAGAATTTTAGCTTAAGGCAAACATCACTCGAAATAGAAAAAACAAACAATTTCTATTGTGAATACAGCATCCTTTTATATCGCTTTTCTGTCCTTTTTTGTTTCTTAACACAATAGAAGTCAAACGAAAAGTACGTGTATTTACATTATTTCGACCTCGGGTTTAACACCAATCAAGGTTTTGCTCAAAATATGAATCTTCCTTAATGAAAACGTAACTTTAAGTGAATCCGTAAGAACTTCCCATTAGCGTTCGACTGGAGGGGCTAGGGTATAAAGAGCTCTTCTAAACGATTACATTGGAGATGTAGCGTATAAATTATACACAAGGTTTAAATGTACATTTGTGAGATTAAAAAGAAAAATAGATTAACAGGCGAATTAAGATGATTTTAAATATCTCCCCATAAAAGGCTTAACCTCGCTTGGAGCTATAGACACGGGAATACAAGGTTCACGTGGTGTAAAATTATCTATAATGGAAGTCGATTGATTAAAAAGATTTGTTGCTTTTTACTTTGGGGAAAAATATCCTTGTTGCACCACTTCCCCTTCGGCAATAAAGCACAGAATGTGATATTAACTACCAAGTCGCATCACGAAACATGCAGTCCGTGCTTTGAGATATATACCTGTATTTTGTATCATGCTCTATTTTGCAAGTCCACAAATGTGATATTCTGCGATTATTTAGTTGATCTAGTAGCGCTGACAAATCATCCTAAATTGAAAAATAATTGACGCTGCATGAAGTAAAATAAAAACAAATTTCAAAATCAGCATGAGTGCTTGTCGCCTCGCCAAGCCAAGCTATTTCACTATAAAAATGTGTTTTTTATGACTTAAAAATCTGGTTCAGATTCGCTCAGTCTCGTTTCAGATATTTTACTGGCCTTTATGAGAAGGATTTCACGCTGTCGTTTAACTTCCCATCACCGGAGTCGAGATCATCGCCGGAACTATGCAGTCCATAAGTTGGCGATATAAGAGGTGTTTACGAAGTAAAATGCGATAAAAACGACCATGCCCAGTCACTTTTCAAGTTTTCACAGGCTATACAGGGACTTAAATTTACAAATTTTCCTTCATAAGTTATAAATTTTTTGGCGTCTGAAGCATTGTAATCGTAGGTAATGCTGTAGGTGAACAGACATGTATTTAATAACAAGACTAGACATGTGCGATGTCCAAAT